GAAGGGGGTAACAGGGGTTTTTAGTAAGATAAGTAGTCCTCCGATAGTCTTTTAGGTTTTATTTGTTACATTCGTGATCGATACGTTTCTAAATCGCCCACTTTACAGGGATAATCACCCTCTCAATTATTTATCAGAAGATACGTACAAGGGACGATTATGATATAGTAATAATAACAAAAGGGAAAAAACAAGATTTTCTCATTTTTCTGATAACACGACCGCGCGCATCGCGTTCGGGGTCAACTGCTAGGATCGCGGACACTCTGACGCAGGCAAAAATTACACTCTTAACTTTTTTCATTAGCTCAGGAGGAAACTGATATCGTCCGATTTTTTATTTTTTTGTCTTTTTAAATTATCGAATTTTGGGCGAGCGCAGCGATACCGGCACAGATAAACAAACGGGCCACGCCATGCGCCGTCGTAAAAGGGAGACAAACACTCTCAGCAGATGAGCGTGTCGTCAAGGTACCCAGGACCCAGCAGCCGCCCGGCCCCGACCACCATGACCATAGACATAGCGTCCCCCCACCTGTCGCCTGCCTATCGCCCATCGCGCCCGAGATTGACTCCAAGGGTTGGACTGAGCGAGTGGGCCCGCTGCGGTCCAGCTGATGGCAGCAAACGGTTTGAGCGGCCGCGCCGTCATCGCGGGCCGATTGGCACTAGGCGGGGCGCGGGGCGGCCGGTGGGGTCTGGGCCAGACTATCGGCACTGAAAGCAAAAACGTAAACAAGATTGGCCAGAATTATGGAAACGCCCGCTATCACTCTTGGGACCGGCCAGCAAGAGTTGGGCCAATATCACTTTCGCCGAACACAGTCCAGCACTATCGTTGTGTCATTTTGGGTTCTGTCGTCTCATTGTCGATTTGCAGCGGACTGGGCAGGTGCGATTTTATGAGGAGGGGGGCGCGATTGCCTCCCCAAACCCCGTCAGCCTTAAAAATAAGCACCCGTCTATGCCTCTATACAGGGTTTTGAACAACAAATTGCCTGCTTGGAGACGGCTCCATGTGGGGCTCACAGCAAGGGAAAACATGACCCCCGCTCCTTTCCCCTTCCTTCACGTACTGAGCAGCAGTACCCTCAGCGGCCAGGACGAGCCAGGAGCACCCGCCCGCCACCGGCCACGCCAGTCTTGCAGCCCGATTTCAGCTCAGGGTCTCCAAAGAGTGCTGCTATATTTGGAGCTAAAGCAGTTGAGCCCGGCGGGTCGACGATGCGCCCTTCCCAGCCAAGGTCGGGCCCGGTCGGCTGCAGGGGGGTGCGTCCGAGGTGGGCCAAGGGAGACTGAGTTGGCGACTCTCCCTTCTCTCTTCCCCGCCCAGACTAGCGCGGCCAAAGCGGAGTCAGACGTCAGGCCACGCGACACCGCAACACACCCTGCGTGTTCCTCGAAACTAGAAAGGTTTTCCCTCAAAAACGGCATGATTCGCTTTGCACCTCCGAATTGCCAAAGTCATTACCCACCCTGCAGACAACTCATAGAGGTGGAAATTTTACTGAAGACACTCCGTTGATGGACGCTTCCTAGGAACTAGTATTTATTTTTAATTTGTGCCAGTCATCATGCTTTTGTAATTTTCTTGCATTATCTTTATTTTCTCAGAAGTGGGTAACTGTCAATGAAGTGAACATAGTGCGCATTTAATGTCAGTATCGTTGAAGTTAATGATGACATCCTTCTACAGGTAAAGCTACAGTCTCGAGGAATTGTCGTCATCGCAACGATAAAATTTTACAGTGCGGTCTAACACGGCC